AAAAAAAAAACAGTAAAATTATATTCTTAGAGTTAAATATTTTTTTTCTTTTTTAAAAAAGAGTATAACAAAAAAAGTATTATATAAAAATTTAATTATCTAAAGAAAATATATCTATTTATATATACAAAAAAGGGAAAAAATGTAATATAGTTAAATGATATAAAAACATAAGGTTTTTTTTTTTTTTTTTTTGAAAAAGATTAATAAAAAAAAGAAAAACATTTATATAAAAATTTACATAAAATTAATAAATAAATAAATAAATAAATAAATAAATAAATAAATAAATAAATAAATAAATAAATTAATAAATATATATATATATATATTTATATATAATTATAGAAATAATGAAGAATAAATTAAGGTAAGAGTATTAAAATGCAACTGAACATTTTTTTTTTTTTAATAAAAAATCATTGAACAAGATTAAATTATTTAAATATAAAAACTAATAGAGGAATGTACTAAAAAAGTTTTTTTTTTTTTTTTTTTTAAAATCTATATTAAATACAATTTCGAAAAAGATACACCATGTCTGCTATTGGTATGCCCCCCCACATTTTAATTCTTTTTCAAGCAAGACCATTATTAAACTATTATAAGCCAATAAAAAAAAAAAAACCAAAAGAATATAGCGGGTTAGCCGATTTTTTGAATTATTTTGAAGAAGGAGAACCACCCCCCAAAATAAAATTAGAAAATACAAAAGAAAGAAAGGAAAGAAAAAAAAAAGAAAAAATAACATATAATGAGTTGATGCTAAAAGAAAAAAGAAAAAATTATGATCCTTTTAAAAATGAAGATTTAACTAATGATCCAAAAAAAACATTATTTATTGGTAGATTATCATATGAAGTAAATGAAAAAAGATTAAGAAAAGAATTTGAAACTTATGGAAAAATTAGAAAAGTAAAAGTAATATGTGATAAAAATAATAAGCCAAGAGGATATGCATTTGTTGAATTTGAGCATACAAAAAGTTTAAATCAAGCCTATAACTTAGCAGATGGAAAAAAAATAGACAACAGAAGAATATTAGTTGATATTGAAAGAGGTAGAACAATCAAAAATTGGTTACCCAGAAGATTAGGAGGTGGAAAGGGCCCAGCAAGGGGATCAGAAGAAAAAAAAAGAATTACACACAATATTAATTGGAGTGCTTTAATTAATAAAGATAAATATAGAAACGATAAAAGAAGAAATGATGATAGATATAAGAACGTACCATTATATAATGAAAGAAATGACGACGATGATGATATAAAATATATGTTAAAGAATCATAAACGTCATAGAGAGGATGATCGTAGAAGTTCTAAGAGAGAACGTGGACATAGAAGTAAAAGAAGCGCTTCTTATGATAGGCATCATCACAAACATAGGAGAAAAGAAAAAAGTAGATTAGGTAGAGAAAGAAGTAGAGATAAAGAAAAAATTAGAGACAGAAGTAGAGAGAGAAACAGAGATAGAAGTAGAGATAGAAGTAGAGATAGAAGTAGAGGCAGAAATAGAGAAAGGGATAGAGAAAGGGAAAGGGAAAGAGATAGAGATAGAGAGAAAGAGAAGGGAATAGAAATAGAAAGTGAAATGGATAAAGATAAGAAAAGAGAAAAAGATAGCTTTAGTGACACAGAAAGTCATAATGAAAATAGTAGAAACATTGAAGGAGAAAATAATAACTTACATGAAAGTACGATGAAAAATGCCTATTACAATTATAACAATGATATTGAATAGAATTTTAAAATATAATGTCAAATAAATTAGAGTAAGATATAACAGTAAAATACCATTGAAGGAAGAAAACTCAAATTTAAGAAAAGAGAAAATATTTGATAAAAGAATATTTTGAGAAATATTTTCAAGTTTTTAACGAGAAATTAAAAATTGTAAAATTATAAATATATAAACACATTATATATATATAAATTGAATTTATTTCATTTCAGTAAAATATTTCTCTCTATTCTTTAATACATACTTTAGGAAAACACAATATATACATACATTTTAATTTAAAAATTTATGCTAAAATAATCCTATTTGTTTAAAATAAGAATCTGAAATATAATAGTTTAATACTACCATGCTTTATGTTATTAATATATATATATATATATATATATTTGTTCTTTATTTAAAATTTTTAATAAAAATTTTTTTTTTTCAAAATTTTTGTAATACAAAAAAATTTTAACTTTTGTTATTTTATTTCAAAGTTCATGTAATGAAAATTTTCAATTTATATTTTAAATTTATTATATATTTTTACATGATGAATTAAAAATTATATTTAAAATTTTTTAATTATTTTTGTTTTTTTTTTTTTTTTTATTTGAATTTAATATATTATTACTTTCACATTTCATAATAATTCTATGTTTATGATAATTAGCGCATTATGTTTTTATAGAAAATGTATAAAACTCTGTCTTTTTTTTTTTTTTTTTTTTCTCTTCTTTTTTTTTTTAATATATTATCCTTAATAATTTCTTTTATGTAAGGAAAATACATATATATATTATCATCTATTTTTTTAACTTAAAAATAATATTGTAGTAACTATTTTTTTCTATGAAAATACTTAAAAAATAATTTAGAAATTTAAAATGTTACATTTAGAATTTCCACTAGAATATATTTTAAGAATTTTCATATTTATGTTTTTAAAGTAATCTTAAAACTTTCAGTAATATATTTTATATAACAAATTATATAAATGTCATATATATTTCTTTTAGACTTTTTTTAGAAATTTGAAAAGTTTATTTAATTTTACGTAAGAACCCACAATTTTTTTTTTTATTTTATAATATTAATTTTATTTTTCTAAAATTTAAATGTAACTTCTAATAATATCTTTTATAATTATTATGTGTACAATTATAATATCAAAATATTATAAAACATTATTATAATTAAAAGTATTATAATTTTTTATATTATTAGTACTAATAAAAGTGTAATAATTAATATCTTTAATATATATATATATTGTCTTTAAATTTTTTTTTGTTAAGTATTATACTATTATTTTATTATAAATATTAAATGAGTTTAAAAAATGAAGATGAAAAAAATAAAACCGAATTTTTTGTATGTGCTGACATAAATAAAAAAAAAATGAGAAAAATTATAATTTCTACTGATAAAAAGAAGCAGAAAAAACTACTCATTAAAAGTTTGCATATAAATTTTAATATGAATAAAAATGAAAAAAATAAGAAAGAAAAATTGATGATTTCTATTGACAATTTTTTACCAAAAGAGTTAAATAATGAGAGTATAAACATAAAAAAAAATAAAAATGAGGATGAAGATTTAGAGTATCTACACAGTTTAAACACACTGAAAAAACAAAAAATGATGAAAATTGTTTGTGACTTTTTTTATAACATTTTAATTTTTTGCATAAATAAAAATTTATCTCTTGTAGAAATATCTACATTTTTATCTATAAAAAAATATATATTTTTTAAATTTGTAAACAGCTGTCAAAATATAATAAATCTTTTCTTAGAGTTCAAAAAAATCATGTTAAAGCATTCTATTAATAGAATACCATATTATGTTAAAGTATTTTCATACTCTTCTTTAGATTTATTAATAAGGTATTCATTCAAAACATTTTTCAAGAATTTTTCTTTCTATAAGTTTATTTTTAATCCATCTTACAAAATATATTTTGAATGTATTGATAATAACTCTACTATTTGTGAGGAGAAAGATTTTAATAAAAACGACGACGCAATTCCTTATAACTTAAATACTCCTGATAACATAAATTATATTAAAGATCTAATTAGACGTAAAAAAAAAAAAAAATAAATAACGAAAATAAAAATAAGAAATATGTGATTATTGTCTTCCTTAAAATTTTATTCAGAATTTTTAATTTTTATATAATATTTTTTTTTATTTATATATTTTTAAAAACATTTAGTTGAATTTTTTTTTTTTTTTTTTTTTTATAATTACAAAGATCTCATAGCATATTATAAAAAATATATTATTTTAACACACCAATGTGTTTTAAATAATAATTATATAATTTGTTTATTGTTCATTTTTTTTTGAAAAAATATATTTTTTGTAATAATTCTCATTTAACTCTTAACTAAATATGTGCACATATATAATTAACTTTTTTTATAGTTAATGTTGGAAGTATAAGTAATTTAAAACAAAAGGAAATTAACAAAGATTCTCCCATAAAGGAAATACAAAAATATTTATATAAATTTAATATAAAGAATGATTATATCGTTTTTGAAATAAATGAATTTAAGAAAGATAAAAATCTTCAAAGGATATTTAATGATATGAAGAACAATAATGATCAAATACATTCAATGAACGATAAAAAAAAGAGTGAATTACAACATGAAAAATCAATAAATAAAGATAAATTGATAAAAAGGGTAAAATAATATATAAATTAAATAAAAATAATAGATAATGTTACTATAATTTATTATAAAATAATAGATTTTAAAAAATAAATATAAAAAAATATAAAAAGCATAAATTTTTTTCTTTTTACTTTAAGGTTGATAATTTATATAATGACTTAGAAAGGAGAATTGTATCAAACTTAAATCAACTTTTAAATAATGAAAAGTAATAAAGATTTATGAAATCACCAAAAAAAAAAAAAAAAAAAAAAATATGATATAAGATAGTAAAAATGATAACTTTAAATACCTAAAGTATTTTTTTACTTTTTTTATAACTTAAAAGAGTGTTTGTTTAATAAAAATTTCTCATCAATAATTAGATTATTTTTAAAATTTTTTGTTGCAACTTCATCTATATCATATATTATTTTCTGTATTTTTATTTTTATCTCTAATATAGAATCATTTGGTATAATACCTTTATAAAAAAATGTAGAAATAAAAAATAAAAAATATATAATTAATTTTTTTGAAAAATATTTCAAGTATTTTATTTTTTATTTTTTTTTTTATATACAAATAAATTAACTCTTACCTTCATTAGAAAATTCATTATAAAGAAGGAAGATAAACATATCTAGCTCTTTCATTTTTAAAAATAAATTTTGAACTTTATCTTCTAGCTAAAAAAAAAAAAAAAAAAAAAAAAAAAAAAATTTTTTTTTTAAAAAAAAAATTTTTTTTTTTTTTTTTTTTTTTTTTTTTTATCTTGAAGATAAAGTTCAAAATTTATTTTTAAAAATGAAAGAGCTAGATATGTTTAT